TATATACATTTGTAATTGGGTTCATGGGGGTATTTGAACAAACTTAAATCTACACTTCCTAAAAATTCTTCTAAATTAAAATGACACATAATGGCAGTGGTATCTACGAACAACCATGGCTTTGCTGTTCCTGAGTTCTAAGATGATTTTCCGTATGTATTTCTAAGTAAAACTTTGATCCCCAAATGTCCCCCCATCCTACCCAAGGGGGTCGTGAACAAACATTTATATATATTTATTTAACAGAGGAATGCTTCTTTATAATTATGACCAATCATGGGTTTGCTGTTTTTAAGAAAAAAAATTTTTTCTCATGTATTCATATGCTAAAATTTTATGCCCATTTGTGGCCCCACCCTTACCCCCGTGTCATGATATGAACAAACTTGAATCTTAACTACATGAGGATACCTCCACATGAGTTTCATCTTTCCTGGCATAAAGGTTCTTGAGAAGAAGATTTTGAAAGATTTTTCTTACATATCCCTATGTTAAACTTTGATACTCCATTGTGGCCCCACCCTACCCCCGGGGGTCATGCCTTGAAGAAACTTGAATCTGCACTACATGAGGATGCTTCCATCTGAGTTTCAGCTTTCCTGACCCAGTGGTTCTTGGGAAGATTTTTAAAGATTTTTCCTATGTATTCCTAGGTTAAACTTTGATACCTCATTGTGGCCCCATCCTACACCCGGGGGGTCATGCCTTGAACAAACTTGAATCTATACTACAGGAGGATGTTTTTACTTGAGTTTCAGCTTTCCTGACACATTGGTTCTTGAGAAGAAGATTTTTAAAGATTTTTCCTATGTATTCATATGTTAAACCTTGATACTTTGTGGCCCAAACCCACCCCCGGGGGTCATGCCTATGTCACATTAAAATCCCCATATCATAATTTTGTTACAGTATTTTAATTTTATGTAAATATCCAGTGTGGAACCCCTTTGTTTTTAGACATGTTTTCACTGTAAATTTCCTGTAGGGAACCTCAATTAACTGGACCTTTAAACCCGCCAGTCCGTGCAAGATAGTTTGGACACGGCAGGCCAGAGAGGAGGAAGTCTTTACCCCTCTCACGTATAACCTTTTTCTGAATATCCAGCATTTATATTTTGTATGTACTGAGTAAAACTTGCAGGGCTTTCTCTGGCACTCCATTCTTCTTAAAAAGAAGGCTATGGTCCAGCTTTTCTGAGGTAAGGTCGTTTACATTTTTATTTTAGTTATTTATAGTGTAAAGTATCATTCATTTGTCCTAAAACATCCAGTAACCGTATTTCTCATCATTTTTAGCATGTATGTTTAGTTTAATTTGATTTGTATATATCTCGTAACACGTATTTGGAGTGGGGTCTGTCAGCCTACATCCTCGACTGTACTCGGCACTGCTGGTACCGGACATCCACGACTGTACCTGTTCACTAATAGTCAGAGCAAAAATTTCCGGATTGATACGCCATCAACGCAGAGTATATGTAGTTAATTACAAATTATTTTGAATGAAAAATAGGTAATGTATATAGTATATTTCTGATTTTAATCAAAGGCGGATCCAGGGCCGGCGCGCCGGACGTGCCCCCCCCCGTTCTGTTTGAATTTTTTGTATGTAAAACTTATACAAATACAAATACTTTATTGGCACAAACACAATTACAATAATTGGCAAAGGCCAACTGAACAACATTAAATAATGTTTACATATTTTTTCAAGAATTGTCAAGTAATTGACTTCTAAGATCAAAACAGTCTCTGATAAATTTAACAGTAACTTTCAAGACTTTTTGTATATTACTGTTTATATATAATTGTAGCATATATTTCTCATTGCTAAGATTAATATTTTTCTTTGTTATGTTATAAATATTACTAAAGAATGCGTTTCTTAGCTCAGAGTAAGAATTACAGTGAAAAAGAAAATGTATTTCATCCTCAATCACACCAGTATTACAAACATTACAATATCTTTCATTTCTTGATGTGGAAATATATCTACCACTTTCTATTGCAAGTTTATGTGCGCTTAGTCTAATTTTACTAAGAGAGGATGTGTAAAACTTATATATATATATGTGTCTTTTATCCTAAAATCAAGGAAAACACCTCTTATTTGTAAAGTTTGTCAGCTTCATGGGGTTCCTCCCCCGGACCCCCACCAGGGCCTTGCTCTAGAACTAATTGGGGCTTCAGTGCAGCGCCCAGATCACTTACCTTTCTACCTTTTATTGCCCCCCCCCCCCGGGGGAACCGCTACGAAATTGCTGAATTCCCCACTGTGAATTAAATATTCTTTAAGAAAGGCTATGATCGCCAAATGATTAGTAATAAATGGCTAAGTGAAGTACATAATTTATATCGAGGAAATTAAGTATAAACTTGACTTTACCTATCTATTGTATGGATCGCTGATATCTCTAAAAAGTAACATCTAGGCCACACTTTACATCTAGGACTGTACTTGTATCTGTGATTTTTTTAACAGCAACTGCGACTGACATGTGCCGTGCAAACACATTTTTTTCAACAACCGAAATTGATTAACAGCATCCACTATGAAAACCCTGCCAGGGATGTGGTCCTTATAATTCACTGATAGTCTTTGACTCTTAAAACTTCATACGGAGACTTTCCAAGTCATACCAATTTCAAATAGATAATAATGTGTTTTTGAGGAGAGTCTGCGTTTTTTAGGGGGTGGTTCTAAAGTCACATTTACTCTGCAAATTCTAAGGGGTTGGGGGGGTTGGGGGGGGCTCCAGATCCGCGCATGTCAAAATATTAATGTTTATAAGATACCGAGACAAACGAGGTCAGCAGTTTTGACTGAAGGATCTTTTTACAGATGTAAAATTATAGCTTTAAATCTGTGATCAGAGATCAATATGAACTAGATATATCATTTGGGGGGAGGGGGGGGGGGGAGCTGGGGGCATGATTTGAATATCCTATACGTGCTCAATGCTAATGATGAATCATAAACCACGCAAGTAGTGTCAACTAAAAGATATAAAATGATTGATAGAATCTTGTGTAACTTAAATCTTGTATATATGCAGGTAGAATAACGCTCATACATGCGTTTTCAATGTTTTTTAAAATAAGCATCTCAAATGCACCCCGGGAAAAGCCTCCAATGAATTGAAATGAAACTCCTGTCAAAACTATTATTTAGTTATAAATTTACAAAGTACACGATATTTACTAGGCCACAGGTTGCAAAGTTGTAAAGATAAGTTAGAAATAAATTCTTTAAAAAATAAATGGACCTACCATTGACCTCTTGCTCGGTCGCTAGGTCGATTACCGGTATGATTGCAGATACCTGAAATATACAGGTATGGTAGCAAAATTATTAAAGTTTATATTAATGGAAATGCGGTGCTTTATAATGACTGTACCTGTTTAGTATACACACTATATTCTACATCCCTGACTGTAACTGTGACTCATACTGAGTAAACAACATCCCTGACTGTACCTGTGTCTTATAAACAACATCTCTGACTGTACCTGTGCCTTATAAACAACATCTCTGACTGTACCTGTGACTTATAAACAACATCCCTGACTGTAGTACTGTACCTGTGTCTTATAAACAACATCCCTGACTGTACCTGTGTACTGTACACACTTTATACTACATCCCTGACTGTACCTGTGCCTTATAAACAACATCTCTGACTGTACCTGTGACTTATAAACAACATCCTCGACTGTACCTGTGTCTTATAAACAACATCCCTGACTGTACCTGTGTCTTATAAACAACATCCCTGACTGTACCTGTGACTTATAAACAACATCCCTGACTGTACCTGTGTAGTATACACACTTTATACTACATCCCTGACTGTACCTGTTACTTATAAACAACATCCCTGACTGTACCTGTGTAGTATACACACTTTATACTACATCCCTGACTGTACCTGTGACTTATAAACAACATCCCCGACTGTACCTGTGTAGTATACACACTTTATACTACATCCCTGACTGTACCTGTGACTTATAAACAACATCCCTGACTGTACCTGTCACTTATAAACAACATCCCTGACTGTACCTGTGTAGTATACACACTTTATACTACATCCCTGACTGTACCTGTGACTTATAAACAACATCCCTGACTGTACCTGTGTCTTATAAACAACATCCTTGACTGTACCTGTGTAGTATACACACTTTATACTACATCCCTGACTGTACCTGTGACTTATAAACAACATCCCTGACTGTACCTGTGTCTTATAAACAACATCCTTGACTGTACCTGTGTAGTATACACACTTTATACTACATCCCTGACTGTACCTGTGACTTATAAACAACATCTCTGACTGAACCTGTGTCTTATAAACAACATCCCTGACTGTACCTGTGTCTTATAAACAACATCCCTGACTGTACCTGTCACTTATAAACAACATCCCTGACTGTACCTGTGACTTATAGACAACATCCCTGACTGTACCTGTGTCTTATAAACAACATCCCTGACTGTACCTGTTACTTATAAACAACATCCCCGACTGTACCTGTGTAGTATACACACTTTATACTACATCCCTGACTGTACCTGTGACTTATAAACAACATCCCTGACTGTACCTGTGTCTTATAAACAACATCCCTGACTGTACCTGTGCCTTATAAACAACATCCCTGACTGTACCTGTGTCTTATAAACAACATCCCTGACTGTACCTGTGACTTATAAACAACATCCCCGACTGTACCTGTGTAGTATACACACTTTATACTACATCCCTGACTGTACCTGTGACTTATAAACAACATCCCTGACTGTACCTGTGACTTATAAACAACATCTCTGATTGTACCTGTGTAGTATACACACTTTATACTACATCCCTGACTGTACCTGTCACTTATAAACAACATCCCTGACTGTACCTGTGTCTTATAAACAACATCCCTGACTGTACCTGTGCCTTATAAACAACATCCCTGACTGTACCTGTGTCTTATAAACAACATCCCTGACTGTACCTGTTACTTATAAACAACATCCTCGACTGTACCTGTGTAGTATAAACACTTTATACTACATCCCTGACTGTACCTGTGACTTATAAACAACATCTCTGACTGTACCTGTAACAACATCCTTCTTCGACCATAATTGCATCGAAGAACAAAGTAAATTGTTTGAGAGTGTGTAGGTGGAAGCTGCAAGAATAATTAAACTTTTTATCTTATTAGGAACATTGTCATATGTTTTTGTATCAGTCTCTATCTTTCCTTTCTATTTTAAGAAGTGTTAACACACCGTATAACAAACGTGCAACGGTGGGTTGGGGTCAGGAATCCCGTGTTTCCATCTTTAGTGACCAAAATATACATAAGATTAATAATTTATTGATTTTACTTTGTAGGACATTGCATATAATTAGCTGAATTAAGTTGAAGCTTTTTTATATAAAACTATAAAGCCTAGGAGCTTCTTCGCTCCCCACACTTGGTCTTGGTCTCCAACCATATACCGCCCCCTTTCATGTTCAAGATTCCCATATCCACCACTGATATGTGCCCATGCATGCTTGCTAAGGCATATTCAACTGATTTAGACTGATATATAGATTTTTGTAATAGAATTCTGGCACTGGAATGGTTGAAAAAATTACTAATTCCAGTGACGTAGCATCTTCTTTGAAAGAGGAGGCCAGCCAGAAAAAAAATTTTACTAGAAAAACAGTCCTAATTTTTTTTTTCAAGTATACTACATTACCCGTAGTGGACTATACTTCAAGGAAAAAGTGGGGACGGGGCTGTGCTTTCCATGAACATTACATTTTCTATGGTTTATACATGTATATGGGAAAAGAGGGGGGCTGATATTATGTGCCTGAAATTCGTCCTAATCAATGAGGAGCCCCCCTTCTCTTACCAGTAATTAAAACACGGTCGTCAACATTCATTATATACCAGATATACAGCTTTGAGATAATTAAAATGTATTTTTACTTCAGGTAATGAACTTTTGGAATCAACATGATGAAGAGTTAACACAATATAAAGATGTTTTTAAATCACATAAGAAAACGTTGACATAACTTAATAATATATCCACATCACGGAATGGAGTTTTGACATAATGTAATAAAGTGTTCATATAATATAAAGATATGTTCACATTATGTTATATACTTTTTACACCACGTAATAAAGCACT